ATTTCAAATCTAGAATTTGACTGTAATTTTTTTATTGTAATTTTTAATTGAAAGTATTTCTTTTGGCAAAATCCAATAAAGCCATTACATAAACTATGACATAAGACATTTGTGATAAGATCTAGACATATGCAGAAGTATCACCAAAAAAGTATGACGATAAACTACATCTACGTCCTGGGTAAGACAATAAACTACATCCAGCAGCAAGGCCTCTAATCAGGAGGTTTTGAGGAGTGTGGAACCACCTCTTAATTGCTGGTGTTCCCAGGTCCACCTGACCCCAGGTCCCAGCTATGGGCAAATAGTTATTGGGACTGGGGTAAAAATGGGTTTTAATACCAGGAATACTTTGTGTTTTTTTTTTTTTTTTTAAAAAACAAAAAAACTTATCAGCAATACATTTTTGAAAAAAAAATATTACCAACAATGTTTTTTTAAAAAAAAAATATTACCAATAATACATTTTTGAAGGAAAAAATTATTACCAGAAATAGATTTTTACCGAAACAAAATATTACCAGCAATAAAAACTTTGTCGGTATTAAATAACCCATTGAGGTTGATATGCCGTAAAACAACAAACCAAACCATCAACTACAGCTCTGAAAATTCGGGAAAATGTCAATTTTTTTGGATGTTTTTTTTTTTTTTATAGTGTTTCTGAATGTGATCTAGTCTCTCTAAACATCACATATCTTTTGGAGAATATACCTCAGAATATTTTTAAAAAAGAAAAAAAAATAATATAAAATGAAGTTATTTCAATTTAAAACTTGATTATTTTATTGAATAATTCAAATTTTCTTCATAACAAATCCTGTCACTCTTCATCTTTTAATTGATTAGCTTGTGTTAGTCTCTCGTCAATTCTGTAATACAATAATAACAAAAATGATACAATTAATATATAAGTAAAAAGAACACTCACCTAAAACTGAACAAAGGGTGGCCTTGCAAACCCATATTCTTGATGGATGATCCTTAAATAACAAACTGTAATTGTTGGTGACATCTTGACTCTTTTGGGTATCTTCATTTTTAACTTTAAGGTGACGGCACTTCCCTTGAGGCTTTGGTCCTGTTCAATTTTAGTTTTTTGAGAATAGAAAGACTCGGTTTTTAACATCGTCACTAGTCAGTTGATCAGCATGGTAAATGTCAGAAATATTTTTGGTGTATGCAAACAAGAAATTGCACACATTTCACCTCCATCAAAATGTCACTTTTTTTTTTTTTTTTTTTACTCTTTTGTGTTACTCCATTTCCTCCCCACTGGAAAAAACAAGAACTAGTTCCTTGTTGCCATCATAAATTATTCATTTTGCTTCAAGGAGAAATGTCTTTTGTATACAAGATGACATTAGGAAATAAAATTCACTGAATTTTTTCCTATGAAACTGAAACACTTGTTGGAGTTTTCAAAAAAAAAAAAAAGTCAGTTTAAAGAGTGGTGCATAAAAACCTGCTCTGTGACATGAAGTGGTCCTTTGTCTAAGGTTACTGGGTGAACTGACCAAATTACATCACAGTCACTTTATATGAACTGCACACAGACATAGTATTAAACAAAATCTGACTTTAAATGACAAGATTCTAATAAAAAATGTGTTGTATTTTTATTGTTTTCTCTCATGTACAATTTGTTTTTAAGCTAGGAAGTTACCGTTAAGACATTTTTCTTTTTCAACACGAATTCTAAACACTGTAAATTTTGCATTTTTAAACATAATACAAGTTATAGAAAATGCCAATATTAGACAGTTTTTCCTAAAATAAACTTTTTTTTTTAATTTTTAACTATAACACTATTTAAATGTATGTCTAATTTTTATAGCTCTCTGCAGTGAAAATTATTGATAACAAAAGAATAAAGCAGAAATACTGCATTTTGTATATTGTTTTTTTTTATAGTCGTGAAGCATTATTGCTTCATCTCATAGAACATTTTAAAAGTTTTTTTAGTGTAAAAAAAATTGTTTATTGAAAAGGTATTAAACATTTAATTTTATTTAAAATAGGAGGTTGACCCCCCCCCCTTCCAACTTTAAGGTTGGTTTCTTTGTGTAAATCTATATGGTGCTTATTGCATTTTGCAACAAAACAGATTTTTGAAAGCAAAAAAAAATAGGGAAAATATCACAATTTAAAAAAATAAATGATTTTGATGTGTGGTAGTGATGAAATGCAAAACCCTGGTTAATTTTGAAAATGCCATTTATCGCATTTTGCATTCAAGCTCTTTATATGGTAATGGGAACACAAAAGGCATTGGAATCAATTAAAGAAAATGTTTACTGAAGAAAAGCCTGCAAGAAAGGAAGAATCTATGCAATTACTGTATGATACTTTTGATGTGCTGACATCCCAAGAATTTGTTGAACATACAAGTATGATTACCAGAAAAAAGAAAACAAGGAAAAATTAGAGTTGACCCCAAATGAATGAAATACAAAGTTCAGTACCTGGCAAACATTCGAGAAAGAGGAGCAGGTTGAATACTGAAAAACAAATATTTACTCATATGCAAATAAATAAATCTCTGAAGCTGGAATCTACAAAGGTTGATCTAACAAAAATTGAAAGAAAGAATGAAGTGGAAAGAATCTATTAACTGGGTGGTAACTGTTGAAATTTACAGGAAGATGGATTGAAAAGTTGAGAAGAAAATTAAAAATGAAATTCGTTGAAAAGTCGCGTTTTAAAATAATTCCAAAGAGAATCGAACCCAAATTTAACTAGATGGAATTCAGTAAGATTGAGCAAAACCAAGACTGCCAATCCTTCCCCACTGATAGGAAAGAAACCAGGGTATCTGTGTAGATGTCAAATAAAATAAAAACGTCGTTAAAGAGACCCCCAAAATAAAATTTAAAGACCGCTCTGAGTGAAAAATCCAGGAAAAAGGAACATTTGGTTTGAATTGGCCACCTACAAGAGAAGTGTCCCCCACAGAGATAGGAACCAACTTGGCGCATTCATTCATTATAATTTTTGTGACATTTGGTCAGAAAAATTTTATATCCAAACATTAATTTGGATTCCTTTGGACACAAGTGAGCAAGAAAAATTAATTGCTATTTTGGAGTGACCATGAAAAAAAAAGCTGTGTGGTCTTGTTGATCATAAAAAAAAAAAATGCATAGACAGAAGATAAACTTTTGTTTAAGGAGAGTTGAAATAAGTTTTTTCCCAATTCTTGAGTGGTCTGGTCAATTGAGAAACCACAGCATGGGACAAGCTGATGCAGAAAGATTAATGACTGAAAATCCCATTTGTTTCCATTATGCCATCTTGAAACTGGATTTGTCATACCAGCCCTAAGAGCAGGCTGAGATTAGATGCTGAGAAAGTGGGAGAAGGAAGAGAGAGAAGCAGCAGGCGCTAAAGGGAATCCCAGTGTCATTTGATTATAACAGAGGGGAAGGGTTAAAACCACTGTATACAACAAATCATATATAAACCAAATGTTTGTTACATTTTTAACCAGAGTTAATTCTTTATTACAAAGATTTTTTTTTTTTTTTTTGTGTGTAATTCCCAATTGCCAATCCATCTTCACTTCAGTTTGCTTCATCAGCTACCTTCTCTTCCTCTGAGATCAAAAATTGTGGCAGTGAATGGTCATGAACAGATAAACACCATCTAAGTTGAGTGGAACCATACCTACCATCATGATACCAGCGACAAATGAGTCACGCGTTAATGAGTGAGGAGTCGGACAGTTAGTAACCATGGAGGACTGACTTGTGGGAGAACATTATATGGTTACTGTTGACGAGGATCAAGGAGTGGCATTATATTATTGGTTGCTGTTGACCAGGATTGACTGTGGGTTACAAGTAATCTTTGTGCCATTTATGTCCCCTCAGGACATGGCTTGCCACAACTGCCTATCCTTTTGTAGCTCTTAATAAATTTTGCCTTTTTGCTATTTCTCTTAAACTTTGTTCTACCATCCATTTACTTAAGCCCATCAAGTATGTTATGTGTTGTTTTCCTCCTCCACAAATATGTGCTATGAGTATCAGACTTTCCAAGCCTTCCTTCTTCATTACGTGCCCCAGAAATTTTAACTGCCTCTTCCTGATGTTACGTATAAGTTTCCTTTTTGTTTCCATTCTCTCCAAAACCTTGTTATTGCTCATATGTTTGATCTATAGTATCCTCAGTATCCTTCTGTAGAACCACATTTCTGTTGCTTCATGTCTCTTTATCTTTGAGAAGAGAGTCCAGCATTCACTGAAGAATGATAATACTTTATAATTAGCATATAATAATAATTATTGCTGTCCACTCCCCAGTTCAGCATGAAGGCAGGTCATATATTATCATTCAACTGCTAATCACATTTTTTTCTCTCTTTTTTTTGGTGGGAGGGAGGGGAGTCTATTAAGTTAACCCCTTTTACAGGGACCATTGCTTTTGTCTCGTCAAGGGTTACCTACAGATATACAATATCAGACTTTTAGTATTGAGTTTTTATATATTTTTAATAAGGAAGTGCTGAAAAGAAGCCCCTCAAAAAAAAAAAATCTTTTAGTTATTTGATCAGATTTTGGGAAGTGGGTTGGGCTGTGAACTTGTCAGTGCCTACTCACAAGAAGGTATTGAAAAGTTAGCCTGATCAAGGAAAATGCCTCACAGCCATAGAACATACATGCCAGTCAACATATTTACCTGATGATACAAGACATTTGCTACATTTTTACAGTTTTATTAAGCCTTCCATAAAAATAATTCTGACATTTCAGCATTGAAATATTGATTTTGGTAAGTGTTTTGAACAGAGAACTCTTCAGTATATCCTTGTATATATTATTTTTATTTATCCCTCATACCTAAGATAAACAATAATTCTCCAATTCAGAAGAATGTATTGCATAAATCTTCCTTTTCTTCCTCATCAATGTGGCCCTGTGCCAGACTATCTCAAATGAATTCCTCACATCTGATATCATTTTTTTTTTTTTTTTTTTTTTAAATTTTTCTTATTGCAGAAAATTCAGTTTAAAATTCTGCAACTTGATTGCAATAAATACATTGACGAGCTGCAGAAAGAAGAGAAGAAATGTGCTTCATTGCAGACAAGTTTAGATCTTAAACAAAAAGCCGTAGATGATGCTGTCAATAGCAAGAATTTTACTGAAGACAATTTGACTAAAATGAAAGAGATGTATGAAGATATGAAAAGGCAGTATGAAGAACTCCTTGCTTTCCAGTCAGGTAATGTGAAAAAAATAAAAACCGTTCCAGTTGTAAGTGACTGAACTATTTTCAAAAAATTTTTTTCAGTTGGGATTTTCTTGCTTGTTCCTTACTTAAAAATTCTTTATTATTACTATAAATCTAATTGGTACATGTAGGTAAATTTTTTTTTTTTTTTTTTTTTTTTTTTTTTCAAGCAGTGAAATAATGTCTAGTGGTTTAGAGATTGAGATTTTCTATTAAAGAAAATGCTCTCCTACAGAACTCTAACCTGTATTCCCCTTTTCCCATCAGGGAAACCCTTTTTGCGCTAAGTTTGTCTTGCCATTAGGTCATAGGATGCCATCATTTCTAACTAAAATGAAAACATTCTTCAGATTTTTCAAATGCTTTCCAATATAAGACATTCTTTTTTTCATTCTGGTTACAACTTGACATTTCCAAATGGCAAATTTAACCCTTTAGCATTCAGCATGCTCAAACCTGTGCTCTTAATGTTGTAACTCGCTCTATGTATACTCTTCCATATAATATATGATGACATCATCACAACAGAAGTCGTCACATGAAGAATGAGACTCAGACTGCAAACAGATTTTGAGAGGCTGATTATTTATGGGGTGGGTTTGAGCATGTTGAACGCTAAAGGATTAAAGCAAGTACAACAGTCTTTTTTTTTTTTATTTTTTTTTTTTTTTATTTATCTTTGTTATTGCAGCTGCTGTGAACTGGTATCAATTTGATTTTAAATTTTTTATTAATTGAGTTGGTTTCTAATTTTTCTTTCTATTATGTTTTAAGAAAGTAAGTGACAAAATCATCAACAATACAGCATGGAATAAAGTTAGAAAAAAAAGGAATAGTGATACTTTGATAGCCTAATTGACTAAGACATTGTCCATGAAAGATAAACTAATAATAATATTAATAAATTAATGTAATATTAATATAATAATGTAATATTAAATTAATGTAATATTACTAAGTAGATCTTCAGTAATGTGAAATTAGTCAAAAAAAAAAAAAAAAAGTGCCCAAATGAGCTTGTGGGAGCATCTGAATCAAGGCACAGAAAATCTACAGATTTGCAAAAACATATCTGATAAGTAATACCACAGAGAGAAAGTTGATTCACTGTTGGGCTAGAAAATTTTTCTCATCAGAATCTATCTTGCATATTTATAAGTCTACTATTTGTCCCTGCTTTTAATATTGCTGTCACGTCTGATCTGATGCTCCTCTTATATATTTAGAGATTCTTGATAAAATCTAAAGTAAAATCTGACCTGGCATCTCAGCTTCATTCCCTTTCCCACTGCCATAATCTAGCTTCCTTGTAGCTTTCTCTATACATACTTTTGTGGTAATTGTCCTGATGAACTTTATGAATTTAAGCATAGTACTAGATTGGCAGCAAGGTCTCATTTTACAGTTGAATTGGCTAGATATAGCTGTAACTTCTATGCTAACAGTTTCTTTTCTCGCACATCTCGTTTGTGGAACTCTTTTCTGGGTTCTTGCTTTCCAGTCAACTTATGGTCTTCAATTCTTGTTCCTTTAATTGTTCTCACTCCTTAATAGTATTTTTTTTCTCATACTCTCTCACACTCAGTAACCTCCTTGTGTCTTAGTGGCTTTATTGTCTTGCTTGGGATGAAATTTTTTTTTTTTTTTTTTTTTTTTTTAAATCAATTTACTTTTGTAGATAAATCAGTTTGAATTTCAATGTTTTTGAGATACATCAATCTAATAGCACGTAACATATATTCACATCTTTCAACAATTCAGTCAGGATTTCAGGACTTTAACAATTGAAATCTCTTAATAGCTGTCAGAAGAAGGAATTGGCCAGAAAATGTATAATGTCTGGTTGCTAATATCCAGGTATACCTGTCGAGTGCAGTTGGCCAATCCCCATTGTAGATGCCTGCTCAAGCACATTTGTGTTTGTTCCACAACCACAGAGCCTACACGTGGTTTATACTATAACTGCACTGACCTTACTTATAGTTTCTTGGAGTGAGTGCATCATCTGATGTGATCAACAGTTTGAACAAGGCCAGTACACTCGGACCCTTGGTCACGATGACTTGCAACTATGTGCTAGCACAGCCAAAATGTTACGATAAAAAGTTTAGATATTTTAAAATCTTGTCAAAGTATTTATAATTGTTAAAAGAAATAAAATCTCAAAAATCAAATTTTAAAAGGTTTTATAAACTTGCAGAGTATTCAAAAAAAAATACGAAAAATAATTTTTGTCTCTGATTTGATATGTTGTTTATCATAAAGTGAATTAATCTTGGTAAGCATGTAGCTGTTCTTTTCTTGCAGTTAATGAGCCATCTGGTGAAAGAATGACAGTCATAACTGACCAGTTAATGGATGAGCTAAAAAAAGAATTAGATGACTTGAAAAACACATGGATTACACCCAGTACTCATGAAGAGCTGAAAATTAAATTGGCAAATATTGTTACCGAACGAGACTCTTTTGAGGTAAATTATTGAAAGAAAGACAATGCCATTTAATGTCTGCTTTAAGGGAATTTGTTGAGAATTTTCATCAGTATATTTTTTCTTTTTCAGTTGATTAGATGCATAGACTAATAAAATAAACATAAAAATGTTTTGTAAATAACATTTCCCACTTATTTATTGACATCACAAATCCTGTAACACATTAAGGCTGTAAGGACGCCACATGTACTGTGGTCATAGTAGCAGTGGTGTGTCTAAGGCAAGATATCCTGACGGTGCCCATCCTTCTTCAGGCTGGTTTTGAATCTAGATTTCCTTCTAGACTGGTTGCCACCTCAAGGCAGCATAGCCCAGTCTGCTCTGCTATTTAACCTATAGATGGAAGAAGGTGGAGCCCTGACTTTTCCAAGGGCATTAGCACAAATTTAATTGTGTAGGAATTAAACTCTGCATGCTGGATTCATTTTCTATGCTGATAACCATTAAGCCATCTGTACCTTGTTTATTAAGAAAAGACAATTTTCAGGGTTTCATCTTTACTTTAAAAATCAGGGCCATGGATATGGATTTTGCATGAGAAATTCGAAAGTCAAGTTTGTATTCCAGTCGAGTTTGTTACATTCACTTACATGCAAATTCCTTTGGGGAAAAGTATGAATCCATCTTTTCTCCCCCTAGCTATGGGTTGAATAGCAGGACAGGCTAGGTTCTATAGTCTTGGTTGGCAATCGGTCTACTGCAGAAAGAAGTGGCAACCTAGTGTAGGGAAATCTTCTGCCTTGTCAATCATGAATTGAAAGTGACATGATCTTCCAAGTATGTATCATACATGCCACTTAACTGAGTGATTTTACTTTCACTTTTCTGAAAAGTTGAAGGCATGTTGCATAGATCTCTAACCCTGACAAGGCCATTTTTTCTTGCTATACCATGTCCAGCATTAATTATAGCATTAAACTGATGTTTACCTAAGATGATCTATACCTAATTGTTTTTACGCAAATGTGCTGACTTTGTTACTCACTGGATTCCTTCAGTTGACTCCATGTCATTGTTAATTTTTCTACTTCATCTATTGTAATTCTCCTTCAGTATGATATTACAGCAAAGGTCAGAAGGACCTTGTATGAGGTGAAAGGCCTGAAAGTGGTGAAACCAGTTTTAACAACTAGATGTAGTTTGGCACAAGGTTGCAAGTGTGGTGCACTCACAAATAAGTAGTTGTAATGATCTAAAGACTAACTTACTAAACATTGTTCTATGGCAAAGCTACCTTCTTATTTTAGTTTAGTGCAAACAAAACTGTTAAGCAAGCAAATGTAGAAAATTTGCAATGAAAAAAAAGAAAAATTAATGCTTTTCCTCTATTAAAAAAAAAAAAATAAAGATAAAAAACAGACAATTTAAAGCTCTGATATCTTAACTGTAATTAACATCACACCAAAAATCTGATGACAGTAAAATTGTTACAAATTACTATCTAGTGTAGTACCAGTCAAAAATGATGGGGCTTAGTGATGTGTGGAATTGAACTTCTGTCTCAGATCAATGTAATACTTGTGTAATCAGAGTACAAAAACCAATTCTCTGTTCATTTCTACATAACAGTAGAATTGGCAAATGAGATAAATAAGATCTGATGCAGTAGAGAGTAAAAAAAATAAAGAAGCGTTTGAAAGGACAATGGGAAAGAGATGGAGGCAAAAGAAAGACATAGTTTTTGAGTTTTATTACCATTTTATCCTTTTGATCTTTTTAAGATGAAAGTTTTATTTAATTTTTTTTTTCTAACCATGGCACATCTTAAATAGGAAAACAGTATTAGTTTTGGTTGATACCGTGGCATTAATGCATAGACAACAAGGTTTTATCTCAGAAATTCAGACAAGGCTCTTAATTCTGATTTATTACGGTGGCAATATTCACTTATTCATCAAATAAAATATTTTTCTTTCCAGTAACAATCTAGTTCAAGCTTGATATGCTTATTTCAATCAAATTAAGCAAAAATCTTGTCTACCAAATTTTACTTCACTCTATTCAATATTTTTATTGTCTCTAAGCTATTTGAATATACACATGCATATAGGGAGGCTTTTCTACTTAAGTTAATATTGTTTAAGAATCAATTAAAATGCCATAGCCATGAGTATTTTGGGCACCTTTCTGAATGCCATCATGTCAGGGTTTGTTTTAAACCATTCCATCTTTTTCCAGTCAAAATCTTTGAAGCTTTGTGAAGAAGTTCTCCAAGTGCAGTCAGATAATGATCTGCTTAAGAAAAAAAATGAAGACTTTGAAATTGAGCTAGAGAAATGTCAGCGTCACTTGCAAGACAGTCAACGTAACATTGAGAAGTTGACGGCTAACCTGGAAGCATTCAACACAAGGGAGACTCAATGGCACCAGACGGAAATGAAATACAAGACTGAACTTCAGCAGCTGCAAACCAAATTAGGTCAAATGCAGATGGAATTGTCGTGTGTTAGCACGGAACTCAAATTGGCTAATGCTGTAAGTTTTTTTTTTTTTTTTTTTTTTATATACTTTCATTATCTTTCCTCAATTTTAATCTCTAATAGCAACAAATTCTTTACTTTGGTTAGAAATTGAAAAATTCTGCAGCTCAATGTAATTAGCAATTTCCACAACTAAACAATAGTAATACTGAATAGCACCTGTCATTATCTCTAACTGCAAAACATAACCAGGTAATTGAGAATTTGGGCATTGCCTCATTTAGATTCTTCTGAGTTAGTGTACCAGTCACTTTTTTTCCAGGCTGGTGTGCTGGTCACTCTCTAAAGTGTTTCACTGAATTTATTTACTATTAATAATAATTTTTTAATCTTAATTTAAAAAACTGTTGTTACTGCCAGCTGTTTTTATCTTTTACATTGATTCTATGTGCAAATTTGTGATTGTCATACCATGTCACCACCTGTTTATATTTCTAGCATTGTTCTTTTTCTTAGAAGTACATGTAAAATTGTTATATCCAAATTCGGTTTGGGCTGATTGGATGTTCCGAATATGCTGTGTCTGTATCTGGTTAAAACTAAAGCTTGTTTTCGTCCAAGCCCATTTGTAGCAGATACATTAAGACCAGAGTTTTTAGTCTTTAGTTGTGATTGGAACTTTTGTTTTCAATTTAGAAATTATTTAAAAGTATTATATTTTAAGAACTGAAGTTATCCTTTTCAATGAAATATATATATATATATATATATATATATATATATATATATATATATATATATATATATATATATATTGTGATTTTATAACATACTTATGTTATAATTTTTTATAAAATAATATATATATATATATATATATATATATATATATATATATATATATATATATATATATATATAAATTTTAATCTTTATCACTGTATATAACTTCATTTGCTGTACAAAAAGTTTATCCTGCCACTGAAGGTGACTCTGATCCTTGAATTTGTATGAATTTCATGGTGGTTATTGTTATGTCCTGCTTTGGCAACAGAAAACATCTTTGAGTGAAATTAACAATAAGTTTACTACAATTTAGAAGCCTTGAAAAAGAATGCCATGGAAAGGGAAGTAATATTTATAATGCAGAGTGTTAAAGGTTAAACAAAAATTGAAAAAAGTACTTATAAAAGAAAAAGATTTTTTGGTGTGTATATTGTTTCAATGAGAAATGGCATTTTTCATGTAAATTCTGTATAATTGAAAGAAAAATTATGTTACTGTTTGAGGATAATGTTGCAATTGTTATTGATGTTTTAGCATAAAACCTACTTAATCGAAGCCTGAGCAATAATAGGATACATCAGCTAATTCTTTTTTTTTTTTTTCCTCCCACTCTTCACCAGCAACTGGAAAGTGATTTCAAGAGCAGTGAATTAAGGCGCCAGACTTTGGTGCAGTCAGTCAGTGAACTAAGGAATGAGAAGAAGGTGCTGGAACAAAATTATGAGGCAGACAAAGTTGCAGTAGAAGAGAAGGCCAAAGGTCTTAAGTCTCAGCTGGAAACTCTGAAAATGGAATTTGCCTCCAGAGAGCAAGAGTTGTCAGCTCAAAATGAATCTGTTGCCATGGAACGGCAAGAGCTTGAACAGCAGTTGGAAACAGAGAGGAGACTCAGAGACAACATGGAAAGAAACCTCACCTCGCAACATGAGGAGGTTGAAAACGAGCTGAATGAAACAATTTGTCAGTTGAAAGAAGATCTGAAAGCTGCCGAAGAGGATACTCAGCGTCTCCGGAGCCAACTCCGAGAAAAGATTGACGAGTATGATGGCCAGGTGGAATCACTGACTAATTTTAAGTTTGAGTTGCAGGCAAAGGTGAATAAGCTGGAATCACAGGCCAGTTTAGATAAGCAGGAGAGGTTCAAGCTGCAGGCTGAGGTGAAAAATTCTGGGGAGCAAGTTGAAGAGTTGATGCAGAACATTGGAAAATTAACTGAGAGGCTGAATAAATCAATTGCCGAGAAGAAAGATTGTCAGGAGAAATTACAGGATGTTGAAAAGAAGCTTGAGTTGGCGTTTGAGGAATCTCAACACTGGATGACCAAGAACAGTTCCGACAAGAAGACATTTGAAGTTAAGATTATGGCCTTGGAGAAGGAACAGGCCAAGTTTGCAGAGTCGAACAGGTGTGCTATGGAAGAATTGTCGGATGAGTTAAGATCCTCATTGGATGAGAATTGCAAGTTGAAGTCACAGCTACAGAAACAGACTGATCTGCTCACAGACACAAGAGCTGAACTTGAAGTAAAAGTGCAGTATGTTGAGGGTGTACAGGAACAGCTCTCACAACTGCAAAAGTTGCACCACGACTTGCAACAGCAGAATTGCCTGCTGAATAACAACTTGGTCATGACTCAGAGCCAGCTGGCGTGTAAAGAGTCTGAAGTGACGGACTTGGAACGTAAGATAGACGAGTTGTCGGACGAGAAAATCTGCCTTGTAGAGTCCCATGAGAAAGAGCTTGGTGCCACCAGGCAAGCCCTGTCACAGGAGATTGTGAACCTGAATGAGCAAATTGAAAGCTCAAAATCAACTCTGTTAGGTTTTGTTGAGCAGGTTGTGAAGGTAGCAAACCCCAAGTTCAGTACTGACAACCTCAACTCATCTTTGTATCTCGGAGAGCTGGTGGAATCAGTTGGAAAGGACATTTTCCATACAGTTGAAGATCAATCAAAGAGGCTGACAGATGCTGAAGAGAGATGCACCTCACAAGAGACCCAGCTTTCACAGCTGCAAGAAAACTTGCAAGTAAAGCTACAGGAAGGTGAAATGCTTAAAGAAGATCTCAAAGAAATGAGGGCCCATTCTGAACAGTTGCAAGCCCTGAAAGACAAACAACAGCAGCAACTAGAGGAAAACGATGCCCTTATCAAAAACCTGGAAGAAGCAAAAGCTAGTCTGGATAGCCAGATACTTAGTGAGAGGGAAAGTTTCCAGGCTAGGCTGGATGAGGCCAGTACAGAGTGTAACACAACAAGGCAGTCATTAGAGGAAAAGACATCCTGTATAGTTGAAATGAAGCAGCAGCTGGATAAAAACGATACCCTTATCAAAAGTCTAGAAGAAACAAAAGCTAATCTGGATAGCCAGATACTTAGCGAGAGGGAAAGTTTCCAGGCTAAGCTGGATGACACTAGTATAGAGTGTAACACAACAAGGCAGTTAGTAGAGGAAAAGACAGCGTACATAGTTGAACTAAAGGAGCAGCTGGATAAAAACGATGCCTTGATCAAAAGTCTAGAAGAAACAAAAGCTCGTCTGGATAGCCAGATACTTAGCGAGAGGGAAAGTTTCCAGGCTAGGCTGGATGATGCCAGTACAGAGTGTAACACAACAAGGCAGTTAGTAGAGGAAAAGACAGCGTACATAGCTGAGCTGAAGGAGCAGTCTATTATGCTTGACAATGAGCTGAAGTCTGTTCATCAAGAGGTGGGCCAGCTGGAAGCCGCTCGTAACGAATTGCAGCAGAGGAAGAAAGAAACTGAGGATGAACTAGCCGAAAAATGTCTTCAGTTGGAGGTTGCTGCGCAGAAGACGTCAGAAATGACTGTGCTGCTTACTGACAAGGATTCTCTGATTGAAAGTCAGTCAGAGATCCAGAACCGCCTGGAAGAATCGTTAGCATCTCTGAATCAAAAGGTGGCAGCAAACGATCTGGAAATAAATGTGCTGAACTCTGACCTCGCACAAAAAGATCTCCTCATCAAAGAAAAGAATTCTGAACTGGAAGAGCTCTCTGAGACACTTGAACAAAACAAACGGCAATTGCTGGAACTTGTAGAGGAACATGAGACTGCAATAACAGCTCTTCAGCAAGAAGTGATGCTGGATTACGAGGCAAAGCTCGATGCTGTAGTCGCTGATTATGAAAACAACATCTGTGAAAACTATGTCGGCCAGTCAACAGTGAACTGTCTGGAAGAAAAGCACAAAATTGAAATTGAAGAGCTGAGGGTGACTCTGGAACAAGAACGCAAAGATGTCCTTTCAGAACTGCGGGAAGATCATGAAGCCAGCATAAATGCCCTGAAGCATCAGTTTGCAACCCAATTGTCCACAGAGTATATCAAGTTGGAAGATGCACAGGAACAGAATCAGAAGCATTTTCTTGAAGTGGAGCAGTTGCAAAAGGCAGTCAAAGAATATCAGACGAAAATGGACTCTCGAGAACAGGAATACAAAGAATCGCTGGAGCGTGTTGTCTTGGAATATAAAGAAAAGATTGCTAATGATTTTGTTCCAAGCAGTGTCTTTGATGAGCAAAAGGAGCAACACTTAACAGAGATAACTCGGGTCCAGAATGAGCTGACGGCAGACCATGAGAAAAAGGTTCAGCTTCTGACTGAAGAACACGCAGTGTCTCTGAAACAGCTGATGTGCAGTTATGAAGAGAACTTAATCAATGAGTATGTGCCACGGCAGACGGTCGAAGAAGAGAAGGAGAACTTGGTGCTGGAGACGAGGAAGAATCTGGAGGTGGAAATGCAGGAGAAAACAGCAGCCCTGCAGCAAGAACATGAGGCTCTTTTAGCCCGGAATGAACAACAATTCCAAGAGATGCTGACTGAGAATTACATTGAGAAATCAGCGCTGGCTGAGAAGGAGAAAGAGTTGTCACAACAGCGTGCTGAGTTTGACCTCATTGTTGCCACGTCGGAGAATGTGAAAGAGCAACATGAAGCCTCGGTGAAGTCATACGAGTTGAGGGTCTCTGAGTTGGAGGAGAAGCTTGGCCAGCAAGAAATGCACATTGGTTGCCTTGAGGAGCAGGTGGTCAACGAGAAGTTTGATGGCGAACGACAGACCAACGAAGTAAAGAGAGCATTGGAAGGGCAGCTGACTGAAATGAAGAAACTGGTGGACATTGCACAACAGGATTTAGCCACTGCTGTCGACATTCACAAAGCTGAAAGCGATCAACTTAGGGCCCAGATTAGTCTGCTGGAGAAATCAAACCAGGATGAAGCGACACGACTGACTGAGAATTACCAAAGGGATTTTGAACAAATGAAACAAGAATACCAAGCGAAAATTGTTGAACTGGATGCAACTTACAAAGCAGAACTTAACCAACAGAAAGGTAATGTTTACTGTTTTATTCATGGATTATTTAAAAACTTGTAGTAATAAGAATAAAATGTATCTGTAATTCTTGAAAATGAATATATGGTGGGTAAAAATTACATTTTTGTGTATTTAACTTAAATTTATTTGATTTTAAATAAATTCAAATATGTGTTTTAACTTTTGGATTAAATTAGTATTTATTAGTATATAGTATATATGTGCCACCTGTAGACATAGCACAGTCTTTTGTGTGTTTTTCCAGCTTTATTTATAGGCAAATACTCAAGGAAATGACCTGGCCTTTTGAATTATTTTTTTTTCTTTCTATCTCTCTTTTTATTTTTTTTACTTCTCTCTCCTTTTTGCTCCCAGACTCTACTTCATTTTTTTTTCTGCCCGTCTCCACTTTTTGTCTTCTGCCTCTCTCCCTGTCTCCACTTTGTTTGCCATTTTGTGAAAGTGCCTAAAAAATCCTGACATTTCCTCTCACCTTTTTTATGCCTTTGTCAGAATGTCACCTCCAAGAAATGTGTGTCTCCCATGCCAAATATGAAGAAATCCAACAGAACCTTGTGAGTACCCAGTCCAAAGCTGAGGAAGCTGTCTCTTTGAAGGAACAAGAACTGAAAGAGATTTTAGCAGACACAGAGAAACAATTGAACACAGAAAAGTCCCTCATAGAGAAAAAACTCACTGATGTTGAATCTGAATTCACCGAATTCAAGGTAACTAACCCTTTATCATTTCTGTGCAATATTTTATCAAAATGTAATCAATTGAACCATATCTAAATTTGAAAGTCTTAAAGTATAAATTCATGACTATCTTTCACTTTTTTCCCATTTGGCTATGGATCTGAAATTGAATCAAGGCTGTTTTAAAATTCTAACAAGTCTTATAAAATGCTACAAGTTTTTAAATTTTTTATGAAATAACACCCAATGAATTTATAACCAAACCCCAAAATACAGCAACTAACATTCACAGAATAATTTATTTGGTTCATTTTCTTTTCCTGTTGGTTTTTATCACAACTTTGCAATTGGGAAACCCCCCCCCCACACACACACACACACAGTTAAAGTTAGTAGCATGAGACAAGAATAAAAAGTTGTTTCCAGCTGAACTTAAATTTGTATTATTCTGAGAACTAGTCTTTCATGAATGATGCCAGAATCAGTTTTACTTTAAAAGCTACTATGAGAAAAAAACAAAACATTAAGACTAAGAAATTACTATCCAAAAATAACAAGTGAAAATGTTTACTGTAAGAAGTTTAAATACTTTAAAAACTATCAGTAGTTTATAAAAAGGGGCAATATCATTTGGAGTAGGGCAGGCAGTGTGACAGTTGATTTATGCATCATCTAGCTATAGTCTTCCATGAAGGAATTGGTTTGCTATGAAAGATGATCTTCCAAGATATGGAACATAGCGTTAAGTCTCTTTGGAAGCTACTTATTTTATCCTGCTTCACATTAACAGGATTACAAAGTTGATTAAGTTCACATAATTTAAAAAAGAAAATAATCTGTGATTATCCTGCAGGTAAGCCATGGTATGCTGTGTGGCTATTGGGATAAAATTTATACCCTTTCAAAATTACATGGTGCTACCCAAAAGTTTATGGAATTTGACTTATGGGGGTGGTGGTTAGAAATGACTTTCCCCACACAAGTTTTCCTCTTGGTAATGTACAATACAGTCACAAAGTCCAAAATATCTCCAATGTTTGAATATTACCTCCTATTAGGCTAACTTGGCAGTGCCACAAGGTCACGATCCATATTAATGTGTGCTCAGACCCCCCCCTTTTTTCTCTTTAGACTTTTTTTTTTAAAAAGGTTTTTTTTTTTTTTTTTTTTTTTTTTAAGGCAAACCACAAGTTGGTGTTGGAGTCCAATGAAGAGAAGATTGCCAATTTGAATTCATGCATCAGCAAATTGAGAGAGGAATATCGGATGAACCAGAGCAAGTGCGACCTGATAGAACGCCAGCTGAGGGAACGAGAACAGAAATTGATAATGGATAACATGAAAACTTTATCCAAAGCGGAGGAAATGAATAAATCTTTGAGCAACCAACTGCAAGTGGCTCAGAAAGAAGTGAGTCTTGCTCAGAAGAAAAAAGAAGCCACCCAAAAGGAGGTAATTGTTAGAAATGGTCTTGAGGAATTGACAGAAAGATCCTTGTTTTTTATGCTTTGGGTTTGATTGTCTGTAGATATCTTTTGTGGATATTTAGTAAGCTTAACTGGTCTTAAGCTTGTACAAGTCTACAAGTATGGGGGGGCAGCCAATGAAAATAGAACTCCTAACACAGTGTATTTCAAGATTTGCTTATTAATTATGTCATCACAATGTCAGTCTGGTTGTTTGTCTGTTAAAAGAATCATTTGATTTAATAGAGATGAGAAATTACTATAGGTAAATTAGAATTTTTGTAGAGGGTTAAACAAATTATTAAAAACAGGGTTCGTACAAGCTCTGGAAACCATGAAAAATCCTGGACAAACAGCAATAGCCCAAAAGCTCCTTGAAAAGTCCTGGAATTTTCTAAATTGGACTGCACACACATCCTTTTTCTCAATTTATGGGAGTCAAAATGCTAAATTCCAAAAATTAGGCTTTTTTACAAGCTAAAATTGTACTTTAAGATTATTTTTTTTTTTTTTTTGTCATTGGTAATATTTGGCAAATATTGCGAACAGTGGTTTGTTGCTTCCTTGATTAGAACAGTTCATGGCCTCGTAGTTCTGTCTTTTCCTCGTCTAGGTGACTAAAAAGAAAGGGAGAAAGAATCTGAAGGCGTGTCTTCTAGCTGCTACCCTCACTCAACAAGAAAAGAGTCAAAACAAAGATAAAAGGTGTCAGAGACAAGTAAACATCTTCATCAATGATGAATTAAGTCACACTCATTAAATTTGTAGTTAAAAGGAAAATAATAAATTATTTTACAATCATGAAATATATTTTAGTAGAATGTTGAAAAATTTATCAGTATTTTTTAAGTCCTTTTAATCTCTGAGTGGGTGAGCTCCTGCTGAAAAAATAGATACTTTACATGTCCCGTGTCAATGTGCATCTATGTGTGTGTTTGTCTAAATTGTTGCTGAAAGTAACAAGTTTGAGAATCAAATTTGACTCAAAGAAAATGTACACAAGAAAGATATATAGAATCGAAAATGTGACTTTTATGTGTCTCAGGTTAGAAAATGCGTCTTTGAAAAATAAGAAGAATGTTATTTTTAAAGTTTGCAGACTTCTATCTCTAGCAAAATGATGAAATATAGTAATTAAAATTTATTTGGCTTTTATTACTTAAGTTCAATCTAGCAACCCTGTCCCTTTTACTTTTGTGTTTCTGCCATAGATAGCAAGAAAATGTACAAACAAGTGAACGACTCCTAGACATTTGATCAGATGTCATCATAATTCATCATTAAACTTAATTTAAAAATTTTTTTAAGGTTACTGTGCAGCTGAGCATCTTACCAATTCCTGCCATATCTTGGTTGCATGACAATGTTGTTTGAGCCTCTCTCTGAATGAACTTCCAGTCCACTCAGTGACATTGTTAGACGTTTTTTCTTTTTTTTTTTTTTTTAACCTTTGCCTTCCTCTAAAGTGGTACCTTGCAAGATGGCAGAGAAAAGAAATATGTGCAGAATGAATAAAAGTTACTTGTGCTTTTGTATGCACAATGTAAATATTGTTCTTAAACCCTATTTCTTTTTTTTTCCTCCCCCAGGTTGACTCTTTAACCAATGATCTGAAACTTGTAAAGCAGATGAAACAGAAGGCAGTCAATGAATTACAGGAATACAAAATTCACTGTCTGGAATTAAAGGAGAATTTCTCTTCTGAGAAAAGCCAATTAGAGAAGAATATCCAGGAGGTAAGATTGACAATCCACAATAAATAAATTTAAAAAAGAAAAAGAATTTTCTTTGTCAAAAAATGGAAAGACACTCCACACCACCCCAAGATTGGATTTTATTTTTTTTGTTTATTAGTTGGATTTCCATTTTCATTCTTGTGAGTATAGCTTATTGACTCTTTGCTGACCTACAGTCTGTTGATAATTGGGGTGTAGAATGGCTTGTTAATTTTAATGCCTCCAAAAAGAAACTGCTCACTATTAATCATCTGAGAGAACCCTTTCTGCCTGCTATTGGCATAGCTGATGCTAACCTCCAGGAAAGTGATTCATTGTGCCTTTGAACATTGAAGGGAGTGCAGCAGCTTGAAGATAACAAAGAGGAAAAAAAGTATCCTAAAAGGAATTGCATGTAATAGGATGGACACGTTCCTGTCTGAATTTCTGGCCTGTGCAATCATTCTTATTTACATTTGGACTAAATGTCAGTGATTGTCAGCCTGGAAAAATAGATTAAAGTGTTGGTTTGTGAATTTGGTGGCATAGCAATTGTGAATTCAATCCTTGGGTTAGGTAGTACAGACTTGGTGGAAACTGTAATAACTGAGCAAAACCTAAACAAGAACAATCTCCATGTGTAAATTAAATTAAGTTTCAGTTTGAAATTCCCTGAATTTTGTACAGAGCAACAGGCACCTGAAGAAGGCTGGCAGGTGCAACTGTTGAAACATTGTACAATAACAACAAAAATGAGGACATTAGTCTGAATGCAAATCATGTAAATAGGAAAATGATGTTGCTGAAAGTTGGATAAAAATTAATATTAATCATTTCAGCTTTGTTTTTCACTCTTTTTTTTTTTTTTTTTTTTTTTCTTAATTTCTTCCTGCACAGATTAAGGAACAAAACCTGGAAAGTCATGCAGAGATTGAGAACTTAAACAAACTCATCAAGCACTACAAGACCCGAGAAGAAATTAAATTTTCTAAGTTTATGGAACAACGGGAACTGGACAAAAAAAGTATCGAGAAACTGACCAGCAAAATATCGGCGTTGGAACAAGAGAAGAAATCAATGACCGACTACCTGAAAAAGGAAGAGGAAAAATTCAAAGCCTTTGGTAAGAAACATTTTATAAAAGATCCTTTGAGAGGACAAGGCTAGTAAAATCAAATGAATCAATATCCTTAGTCAATTTTCCACCTCCATATCTCATGGCTTCCCTCTTTTTTTCTTTTTTTTTTTCCTGTAAATATTTTCATGGTAATTGTTCCGACGAGCTTTCTTTGTTGGTGCCTCAACTTCATGAATTTAAGCATGATACTTGATTGCCAACTTGGTCTCCCTATTGAATGATGTGGATGAAACCATAAGTTCTATTCTAATAGTAGTTGTTGTTGTTTTTTCTCACACTTCCTGCCTGTGAAACTCTCTTCTGGATTCCCTGCCATGTCCAATCTTCAAAAATTTAAATGCAATGCCAATCACCATCTTGTCTTCCTGAACCCAATTTGGAGTCATTGAATCAATATACTGTTTGCTTTGGACCCCTACCCATCAGCTCCCCTGTGCAGACAGAAGAACCCAATGGTTACAACAAATGTAGCTGTCAAATGAAGCCAGAATACAAAATTTCTATATATATATATATATATAAATTTCTATAATAAACTTAATGGAAGTTTTGTTGTTTTTGATCACAGATAAAGAAAATCGGACTTTACATCGAAAAGTTTCTGACTTAACGGAGCAACTGGAGAAAGCTGGAAATGCTCTCTTTGATTCCAACAACCATGATTTTGATCTGCCAAGTATGTTTTAATAATTTTTTTATATCACATTAAAAAAAAAAAAAAATTTCCTTTTAATTTTATTCTTCAAAATCCGTAAAAAATCAAAAGAATTCTTTTCATTTTTACTTTGTAATTGTGCTAGAATCAACATCACTCAAGTACTTAATAAAAGCTAAATTTAAATCTTAGTCATGATAAGGACATTGCCAATATTAACTCATTCGTACTCAACATTCCCTTTTTGGGACAGTTGGCATTAATGATTGAGAAGTAGAAACCTAAAATTAATACTGAATTTTTTTAGAAACCTATAATTAGTGCTGGATTTTTATTTATATTACTAATTCCTCCTGGGTATGACAAATTACATCTGACTGCAAGGACTCTGATGAGGAGATTGGAGGTTTTGTGGGGCGTTGAACCACCTCTTAATTGCTGCTGTTCCCTGGTCCACTGTAGTCCAGAGTGGAAGCATCTGTTAGTCCCAGCTATGTGCAAATACTGAACCTCCCAAAACAAAAATCAACAGTACATTTTTATAACAAAATGAGCAGCAATACATTTTTATAGAAAAATGACAATCAATGCAACGCTAAAAAAAAAGATAAAAATACATTTTTAAAGTACAGTTACCAACATTACAGTTTATGATCTACAAACTATATATCTAATAAAACATACCTTTACTTTGAAAGTATAGAATTATGTACAAAATATTTACATTTTGGCATTAAATGCCACATAGAATTTGATATACCGCTAAATAAAATCAACCAGCCAACAATACATTTTATCTGTAATTGAAGGCATAAAATTTAATTCAAAATATATTTAGTTGAAGGCATACCATTGCATTCAAAATATGTAGAATTTGGCATTAAATAAGCCATTAAATGCTACTAAGAAAATCAACCAAACGACGATTAATAACGTATTTTATGGTAGACATCAAAGTTGGACAATCTCCACCCTCCACTCTGTGTTGTAAAACCTTTATACACAAGACCAAATAATAGAAACTTTAACTACGAAAAATGTGTTGCTCCGATCTTCTCAGTAAAGAGTGTCTGTTTGCAAGGGCACATTTGAAATCCTGGTTTCAAACCCCAATCACTGATGCCAAAAGAAAATCTACAGCTATGTTCACCAATCAAGCAAGTAGGCCATTATGTTTTTCAACCAGCAAGTCTTTTAGTAACCACGATATAATGCTGAGGTTCACTGCATTTGTTAAGAATATGCTAGCTCTTGAAGTATGTCTGACTCCAAGATGAAGATATGGTGGGGCTATGCGTTATCTTGCTAACATCATGACTCACCAGATGTTAAAGAGGAAACAGAAATTGGAATTAATGAGAACCAAATAATTTCTTATGTAGGGACGAAGTGATTAATTTAGGATTTTCAAGTGTTCAAAGATGAATATCCTGGTATGTACATATGAACATGTAACTGTGTTGTGTGTATTGCAAAAATGCTTGAGTGCCTTTTTTTTTTTTTTAATGTGTATGTATGTGTGTGTGTGTGTGTGTGTGTATATATATATATATATATATATATATATATATGTGTGTGTGTATATATATATATATATATATATATATATATATATATATATATAAATATATAAATGGGAGACTGAGAGATTACTGAACTTTACAGCCCATATTGAGGCCCTACAATTGGTTGTGATGATCTCTTCTTGTTCTCCAGATGATTCCCTTGACAGTCCTGACATCAAAGAAATAACGAGACGGACTTATGAATTGAGGTCAAAATCTGGCATCTGGAACAGAATGAAAGTAGAAGATTACAATATTTCTCCAGTCAGGTAAGATTTTTGTTTGGCACTAGGCAGATTGCTTGCCCAATCCACTTGGGGGATTTTGTTCCTCATTTATAAACAATTCTACAAATTAAGAGTAATTGTAAAATAAAATGATCTGACATTTGTTAAAAAAAAAACAAATAAAAATAAGAAAGTGGTGCCATTCATTATGGCCTATTGTCAAAAGATGTTTGGCTCTAATTGGTTGTGGGGGGGGGGGCCATTTGCATTTGAAAATGACTTTGGTAGCTGATTGAATGCTTTTTTTTTTTTTTTTTTTTTTTCTCTCGTCTTTCTCCCTGAATACACTGACTTGTTGGAAAGGTAGACAAGATTAATAAGGAAGAATTTTAAGTTAGGAGATTGTTGTTTTGTGTACAGTTTGACATGCTTAACTGCCCTTAGTTATGTCCTCTGCCTTCAGGATTCTTCTTGCCCCTTGGATATACGTATCACTTTCTGTATGGTAGCCATCAAATAAAGACTTTATACAGTTCTTAATACAACCTGTTCTTGTTCTTTATCTCTTTGGGACCCCAGATAAAACATACATTGTTATTTTAGTCACTATCTCAAAGGATCCAGTATCTGAGAATAATGTACTCATTCAACCTTTATGGCAGACACCTGAGGATAACCAGTTGGCAGGGCAACTGAAACATTAATAAGGCCAATAACAAATGAGGGAACTGTTCTGAATTACTGTCTTGTTAGAAATGGGTTCCAGCAGGAACTTTGATGCTGTGGAGTAGGCAAGAAATCGTGACTTCAGTTTCAGTTACTATATTTAAAATTAGAGGTGTGTGTGTGTGTGTGTTTATTCTTTTTTTTTTTTTATGTGTTTTTGCTTATGCATTGGTGTGGGATAGGGGTGCTGGAAAATTCTTGACCCAACTATGAAGTTCTTCCAGAATTAAATTCTGAAGATTGGTCAGATTTTGGGAAAGTGGGTCTGGCCAAAAATCTTTCAATACCCCCCTCTCATATAAAGATAATTTTGCTATGACACCATTTTCAAATTTGGTTGTCTTTCAAAGAATTTTGATCAGATTTTCCCTGAAATGCATTCAAATTGTCTCCTGAAATGACCATTTATTTATGTAGTTAATAAAGAAATGAATTTAAAAAAATATAGCATAAAGATCTCAAATTTTTTTTTTTTTTTTTTTTTCCTGTTAATATTTAGGATACAGATGTACAGAGCATTCTGTGTGCCTGTAGTATTGCCTGGCAAGACTAACTTGCTAATCATTACTTTCTGCCAAGCACCCCAAAAAAGGATCTGTGATGTGAATCCAGCTTCTACTGTTCCCCCATGATGAGACACTTGTATTTATTAAGCGTAGCTTAGATTAAATTAGCACAAAACTCCACTACTTTTGTTAGTCATTGTAGCAATCTGTAGGTTCCTTCTCTTCATTAACCCTTTCATTCTGAGACTGACTTTTTGATCCTCTAAGTTCTTTTGAGGATCTCTTAAATTCTTGCTGTGATTGAAATATTTTTACCATTTGGTCCTTTTCTTTCTTTTTGTCATCAGCTGCCAGAGCAGAGGCTCAATATCAAGTTATAAGTCAGTTGCATCCAATGTTTCCTCTACCTCCAAGACACCCATACCACGTAAGTCTTTCAGTTTTTCTTTGTTTTTTTTGTTATTTTTTTTTTCTGATGATTTATTTAGAATAGCATCTTTTGTCTTTGTTGTTTCAATCTGTAAACTGTCTTTTGCATTACTCAGACTGGCACCATAAATTGTCTTGTCAGTTTTTCACACCAAGCCTCCACCCACACAACCATTTGACAAAAAAAAAGGGGCAGACATAATGCCATCAAATAACTTTTGAGATTTCATGATCATTTGTTTTCTTATTAAATTCTTTCTTTTTGGCGGGGTGAATTTCCTGGTCACTTACTAATTCCATTTTATCTTTTCTTTCTTTATTTGTTTTTCTGTCCCACTGTCTCTCTGTCTCACTCTCGCTCTCTATCACATTACCTGTGTTAAAAATATCAGAAAAACTCAAGATCATCACATCCCATGCACACTCATTTGGGATTTGAAACATTCTGCTGTAAAAAAAAAAAAAAAAAAAAAATGCAACACTCACACCCTTTGCTAAAAGTTCAGTATAGAGAATCACTGACTAGTGTTCTTCTTTTGTCCATTCCTGTGTATAGTTTTTAGTTTTTTTTCTGACTTAATTTTTTTGTCTTCTCATCACAGCTGGTTGTGGTCAAATCTTCTCTTGTGAAGATGAACCAACAACATTTGACTGGGGACGTATTACTGAGATCCGACGAAGAAATACCATGGTACCAGCGCACCTACGGTCAACATACCCTGCCGAGCTGCAGAATATTCCAAATTCTATAAATGAAGAAATGACAAAACCCAGTGCACCTGGGTCAGGCAAACGTAAAAGGAAAAGCCCTGTTTCAAAAACACAAGTAAGTAGGACATTGCCATTCTGATCCCCCGGATCCTTAAACTGTATTTAGCTGCAGTAATTTTCAAAAATTGTTGAGGTCTTCCGTATATTATGCAGTATTTTGTAGCTAAATTATCACAGCTTTTAAAACTTCAGTTAGGAATCAGTTTTTCCCTGTCAAAAATGCCAACAGGGTCACATTCACCAATTAATATAACGTCTTTCTGCCTATACCCCATGATGTAATCACATTTAGCGATCTGGTCTTCAGGGTCTTAGGATGGTGTTTTAACCACAGGGTTAACTCTGTGCTGGTCCAAACTGGTTTTTGGTCACCGGCTGCTTTGATCTGCACCAACTGTGCCCATGCTGTGTTCTTGATCTCAGAGCAGTGGAAGATGGAAGTTCATAGTATCGCAGCCGTGGTGAGTGCTATATTAAAGAAGAAAAATATCTTCACAACAAAAAATGAAACAAGAGATTTATGGGGTTAATCACAACAAAAAATGAAACAAGAGATTTATGGGGTTTATATAGCTCTTGGCACAACAAAATTTAACCCTTCCCACATCAATCTCTAAGGTGACACTGGGCCTTGTCTAAACTTCTGGAGGAGCTGGGTTCAAAGCTGGTGGCAGCTGATGGGGATTCCAGAGGCACTTTCAGCCCATGTCTCTGAGCTCTCAGTCATCTGCTTATATGCACTTCGGGCCAAAACTGGCATGGGTTTTGGGGATTTGGTGATTCTCCCAATCCTTACATTAATCCCAATAAAAGTTTTCTTTGTTCCCTATTTCTGCTTTCTTGATCAACTTTCCAAATTTGGAGAATTATCTCCCTTCCTTGTGACTAATAACAAGGGTTGCTCCTCCCTTAACTCCAACCTGCTTTGCATCTCGCACCACCACTTCACACAGACAGGGCTAACTTCTGCTTCTTCCTCCTTCCTTCTCAGTATTCTAACCCTTCCCACTTTTCAGGACTAGCATAACTGTCTTTGAATGAGCGTAGTTTATTTTCCTTATTAATTTCAATTCTCTGACTCCCTTCCACTCCCCTACTACTACCTCTGTCCAGTGAGAGCACAAACCAGACCACTCACTGCTTCTCATTTTAACCTTCCGAACGATAGATAAAAAATATTTCTCAATTCCTAAATTCTCAACAAAGAGACATGCTATTCTCTATCCTAGGGCTGATCTTGCAGTCTTAGTGATAAAATAAACCGGACCATCTGCCAGTTATGACAGGATCAATTTTCAAAATCCTAACCCTCGCAGCAGGCTCATTCCCTGTTTTCAATTCTCAATTTATTTTCGCCATTGAAAATATATCTCTCATCTGCCTCTCTTCTCTCTAATGACGTGTCTTTCTAATTTCCCCAAGAAAGAAATAAACCCATTTCCCAATTTGCTTTGCCCACATGCCATATTTTTGATAGGTAAAAAAAAAAGTAAACTCTTGGTACATCATTCCAATTTGTAGGGGTGAAACAATCTAGATGACCCCCACCTTTTTTTTCCACTTCCACATTACCAGGCAAAATGTCTTCCATTTTCTCTCTCTCTCTGTTTATATTTTATTTTTCTGCTTAGAATTAGCATTTAACTACCTCATGGTTTCAATATTGCAGTCTGTATAAACCTAATTCTTTTGATTCTCAGTCCAAGGCTTAAACTTCAAGTAAACAGAATGTAACTGCATTTGAACAAATATAATTTCATCAACCACTAATGATTCAGTGGTGGAGAGATTCTTGCAAAGTACTAAGCATTTTTAATTTCAACATTTTTCAAAGAATATTTAGATATGTAAAAATACCAAGTCTATTTATTTTTAGAAATGTACTTTTTTTTTTTTTTTTTTTTTTTTTTTTTTGTATGCTTATTCTTAAATGATTTTTTTTCTGTAATAGGAGTAGACAGGTTCATCTATCATCCAATTTGCACTCCTCAGTCTTTTGAACAGAAGTAAATGTTTATTCCTTGTTTTTCTGTTTCCAATTGGATTTCTAGTTCCTTCTAAATTCTGCTTCAACCTTATGTCTTCACTTAAACTTTGACCTTTATATCATTATAAGGTTTCTGGTTCCATTATAAAGTCTTTTCCTTCTCTTTCACTTTCAGTAGCCCCTTGCATCTTAGTGGCATTATCACTTTGCTTGGGGTGAACTGATTTTAAAAAAAATTGACTAGAGTTAGTCTGACACAAGACTACAAATGCACTCTTTGATAGTCCTCCTTAATACATTAGAAAATAGTCCAGTAAAACTATTTTTTTTTTTTTGTCTTCAAAGCAACTATAAGACAATAGCAAATTAAAACAGAAATGGTGTTTATATGCAAACTGGATACAAGCAAATGGTTATAGCCTTCAGACATCAAGAAATGAAAATGTATGGTTAAGACCAAGAATTGTTCATTTTTTATTGATTAAGAACAAATCCCAGCATGCATCTGTAGGGTTTGTCTATAAATGTGGGGAAGATGAATATTTAGCAGTCATTTCTAATTGAAGCCTTCATCATCATGAAGGAATTCCTCTATCCCTGCAGCAAAGTTCAGCAACATCTTCAAAAAGACATCATGATGATGATTGACATTGTATTTAAAATTTTTGAAGATTGTAGTTGACAGAAAAATAACCTCGAATAGAGGCCCTGCAAGCAAGAAGTGTGAGAGAACAAACCTAGCATAGAACTTGTGATAAGATCTGCCAATTTCAACTGCAAAATGATGAGCTCTAACTGCCAATCTAGTACTGCAATTAAATTTGTAAAGTCGTGATACCAAAGCAGGTGGCTCATCAGAACAATTACTATGAAAATATTTATAAAATAGGAGTGTCTGAAGTCAAGATGCTAGATCAGGACCAATAACATTGCAGATTCTTTGGGTTTAGATATTTGTAGGTGCAGAATCTTGTATGCTGATAGACTTCTCTACCATATCCTGTAAATGCTTGATTAGGCTCATGTGAGGTGAATATGTTTGCTACACAATTTGTCAGAGCATCCAGAATGCTCCTCCAACCAATTCAGGGCAATTTTTGGCACCAATGACATTGCATTATCCTACTAAGACCCTCAGATATAGCCATATCAGAAATGGTATGTCCTATCCATCTGGCATCCTCTGTCAGGCCTCATTCAAACTCCAATAATTCAGGTTGCCTTCCTATGAGCAGCCTTGTCAGCATTCCTTACTGACTCACCAGATGTCAGAGCACAACTGGGTTTAGGCATTCCTATGATGTCACTGTGCATTAACACCACCTCCCATTACTGTTAGATACAGCTGTCCCTTGACTTTTGACAAGTAGCTTCTACTTTCCATGTTGTGACTGACACAAGGTATTTACTAAGCTTAGTGCAAGGCTACAGTAGTGGAGTAACCTTTGACAAACTTGCTTACACTTGAAAATCATCAATTTGAAGGCTAACCATTAGTAAACTTCTAGGGTTTTTTTTTTCTTCTTCTTCCTCTTTTAATTGGGTTACATTTTTATGGTTTTGTACAAATATATACCTTTCTGGTTATCTTTTTATTGTTGAAAATAAATAAAATGTTTTGTAATGGTAACTGATAGTTTGGGTATGTAAATTGATGATTTTGATGGCTATGAAAAACTTCACTTGTTTGTTTATTTTTAATAATGTCACCCAAGATGGGAAAATATTTTTAATAAATCCCTTTTTAAAAAAAAACAAAACATTGCAGTAAGGCTACAAAAAAAATATTTACATTTGGGAAAATTTCAATTTTTTAACCATTTCTTTTCTTTCTTTTTTTTTTTTTTTTTTATTGTAACAGGCGAAAGAAATTAAAGATAGACCTGCAACTCCTGGTAGATTGAGACGTTTGAGAATTCGGACAAATTTGAATAATGAAAACTCTCCCCAATCAGATAAGAAACGCTTGCGAACTTTGCCGACTCCTCAGAAAAAGCCCGAGGTAAGTCGTTCACTGTGTTTTTGCAAGAGTTAGCTCCCTTATGACGTGATTTACAATTATACATAAAAATAACCTAACTCGGTTCATAACATTTCCATTAATTAATTCCCAACTACTTACAATTTTTTTTATGTATAACATAAATAAGCAAATGGTTTAAATTAAATAGTGCAAAGTTTAGGTGACTATATACTTAAATCCTAGTCTCTTTCTTTCTTTCTTTATATATATATATATATATATATAGGAAAATTAATGTGTAACGTGTTTCATCCTTTAGGATGCCATCAGGCTAAAGTGATTTTCTGTTAATACAACTACACATGCGCACAAAGGGGTTGGGATACTGCTGGAGATTTTTTTTATATATATATATATATATATATATATATATATAAAATTAGTGGTGACTCCAATGATCAGGCTTGTCAGGCTCAGCCTGAGTGAGTCAACATTCAAATATATCTATTTCAAAGTCTGGCACCAGTCGTGGTGAAATTGTGACTGGTTTTGTGACTACATTTTCCAATCATCCACCAATCACTGCACCTGTGATGACATCCAAGGTTGGTGCACAGGTTCGTCTCCTTGGCCATGATAGCTTTCAAAAAATAATACCAGTTACAACAAATGTTTTAAAAGCACTGGTTGAGCGTTCAATACAATTTCTCCATAACTTCACTGGCCTCTGGGCTCAACAACTCCTGATTCCTCACCAGCGGTTCTTCTGTCACTGGACACCTACTAACTCCTCTGGTCACCTACCTACTTCTCTCATGGCTGGACCCACTTTTTCCACAACTTCCTGTCTCTCTCTGTTTATATGGATAATCCTGAGGCCGCATCCCCACATTTGGAAGTGTTGAAACCACCCCAAAGCCACATGGGTGGTCAAATCTTCAAAAGACTACTTTTATGACTATCTAAAGTCAGTAATAAAATTTGTTTTCCAATTCAAGAGCAGACATAACTCCCCCAAAACATAAACTTAGTTTACTCAAAAATGGACTAGAGACAAAATTCCTACAAAGAACTCTGATAACTAAGTGGATTTGGAAGGAATTTCTCTTTTATCTTCTAAAGATGTGTTTAGAAATCATTTTGTTACAATCCCCACCAAATTTTGTCATTTATTATATAAATTACAACCAGACTATGGCAAAATCAATTAAATAATTAAAAAAAAAAATAAAATAAATAAAACAATTAAGCACAATAGCAACACGTGCAGCTCAAAACATGGAATTGTACATAGTCCCATAAAAAAAAACCCAAAAAAAACAAACATACAGATTGACCCCCAATTACTTCTGAAGATAGTTCAACCCAAAGAGGGATAAATATTCTGTGCAGGTCCCAGACATCTGAAATGTTGAAATATACCAGAGGATGGTTAGCAGCCCTTCTCTTCTGTTCAAACCATTACAAGAGGATTTCAAACACCCCTAGAAAAATGTCACATTACAATTAGGGTCACTTTCCAGGCCTTCCAAAGAGAAAACAATACCAAAAAAACAACAAGGGGATTTTAACCACCCCTAGAAAAAATGTCACATGGCAGGAGGAGTCAGTCTCTAGACCTCCCAAAGAGAAAAATAATGTTTAAAAAAAACAAAAAAAAAAACATGGGGGTTTTAACCACCCCTTCAAGTAGCTCCAATCACAGGAAGTGTCATTTCTACCGACCTTCCAAAATAAACAGAAGAACTTTAACCACCTCTTCAATTCTTTCCCAGCCACAAAAAATGACATTTTAGCATACCACAGAAGTGAAAACCAGTTTTACACCCTCAAGACAGAAAAAACAGAAGGTGGGGAGTTCCCTCACATGATCTTCGTCCTTAAAATAAGATACACAAGTTCCATGTCTCATTACATTTCTTGTTTTTTTTTTCTTTTTAACACAAAAAAAACTTAACTTAAAACAAAAAATGAAACTGCTTTTGTCACAACAGGACACATACAAGGCTATAAAAACAAAGTCTCAGAATAATTATATATATATATATATATATATATATATATATATATATATATAAATAAACGTGCAATCAATTTACAAATACATGAATTATTCACACAAAACTAATTAGTAATAAGAGGACAACGAAAATATATGTGTTGTTGTATCCGAAAATGCTATTGAAAAAGAGTTACAACAACACATATATTTTCGTTGTCCTCTAAGAGAAAAAAACAAAAAAAAAACATCTATTCTATACCTGAAGATGTCTGTAGGAACAGACGAAAGCTTGTAGTAAAAATAACAACTAATACGGCAGAAATTTATATAAACAAGGATCAATTCATTCATAACGGATCTGGAGGTTTTTGTATACTATTTGAATTGTTTGCGATGATGGATGTCTCGCCATTTAAATCATTAACCTTTGCATTAGTTTTGTGTGAATAATTCATGTATTTGTAAATTGATTGCACATTTATTGTAATTTAAATAACTGATCCAAGTGCGACTTTTAGATAATAAGTGCGACATTACTGTAATTATTGAACAATATAGTTCATGCCACTTTGACAGAAAAATTTACCAGTAAAAAAATTTGTTCATCACCATATTTGGTATAAACGCAAACACTTTAAAAATTTAAAATCAAACTCAGCGTTGCTTTGGCGTGTTCCAAAACCAATAACTCTTTTTCAATAGCATTTTCGGATACAACAACACATATATTTTCGTTGTCCTCTTATTACTAAGAGAAAAAAAACAAAAAAAAACCCCAAAAAACAACATCTATTCTATACCTGAAGATGTCTGTAGGAACAGACGAAAGCTTGTAGTAAAAATAACTAATACGGCAGAAATTTATATAAACAAGGATCAATTCATTCATAACGGATCTGGAGGTTTTTGTATACTATTTGAATTGTTTGCAATGATGGATGTCTCGCCATTTAAATCATTAACCTTTGCATTAGTTTTGTGTGAATAATTCATGTGTATATATATATATATATATATATATATATATATATATATATATATATATATATGAGAGAGACAAAGTATCCTCTTTCTAGCCTCTGAAATTAATATTTTGTATAAGTTTTCTAATAGAATTTAAATGATACTGAAATGATAAACTTGTTAATTATCTTCTCTCTCTCTCTCTCTGCATAAACGGTGTATGGAAACTGGAGCATCATCATATTTTTTTCTATCAGCTTTTTGTATTTGCTCTGCCATTATATAACATTAGAGTAAATCAGTCTTTAAATTCTACCTATACATCTATTTGTTTGGTCATATTAATTTTCATAAAAACATTTTCCCTATAATATTTTTTAAATGTGTATCACCCTTTTTTTTTCTTAAGCTGCAATTAGCATAATTTTTTATTCTACTTTATTTTTTTAAATTCATTATTGGAATGTTTTCAGGATTTGACAAAGTGTTGGTATTTACATTTTTATTTATTTTTTTTTTTTCCCCTCCCCCAGTAATAACTTTTCTTTTCTCTTTCAAGTATACTGGACGGCCAAGCATGGCATTTGAAATTTCCAACACACCTAAACTGAGTAAACGGCGCCAGAAGGGACGCTCCACCATTTTTGTAAGTATTATTAAGGTTTGATTATTTTCAGATGTTGACAATTATGCAATTGACTGAAAGGATGTTTGTCTCATTAATGCAACTCTGTCTGGTGACTAAAATGAGTAAAATTTCAAGCTGTACCTATTTTACATGAATGCTTTTGGCATAGTTTCCTTGTCTTTATCCCATTTTGGCTGCTGTACTCTGTGGCTGCCTTCATGTCATTTCCAGTGTATAGAATCCTTTATTTGATCCATGAAGCTGTGTTATTTCCATTCCATTACATTAGGTACCTCCACAAAAATGCTAAGAAATCATCATACTGTGATGAAAACATGCTCCAAATGTAATGAAAACATAGTTTTATCATCAAAATTTTTATGTTGTTATTAAGAGAAGAATCAAAGTATTTTTTGATTATTTAATTAAAATTTTACTTTTCAGGATTCATTCTTAAATAATAATAAAAAAAAAATTTAAAATAGATTAAATTTTTTTTTTTTTTTCAAAATCAGACCCAGTCTTACCGAAAATGTTCTGAATTGAAAAATAAAAAACACAATAAAACTGATATTTAATTAAAGAAGCTTTTTTGAATAAAGACAATATTGTGTGAAGAAAAAAAATTTTTTTTTTACAAAAAAATAATTTTTTTTTTTTTTTTTTTTTTTTTTTTGAAATTGAATAATTTATAAAGATTTTACGTCTTTTAAAATCTCATTTTCAATGAGATAATTCTTAAGAAATATTGTTATTAAATAAAACTATATTTAATAATCATATATTTTAAGACTTATTACAATCTGATGACCCCCTGAATATTTTTTTTTTAAATAATTTTGATTTGGTTTTGCAAGTGTGACTATGTGCAGAATTTCTGAAGTATGGATGTGCAAACTGATAAATCTAGCATTTAAAGATAACGTGTTTTAAGGGTTGTCCCACCTTATGATGTAAAAAAAAAAAAAACAAAAAAAAAAACAAAGCACAGACATCATTGTCTACTTCACCATACTTAACTATGTACATGTTTGACTGTCAATCAGATGTAAATAAAACAATTAACACATCAGGAAAACAAGACCCCATAGTTAAGAAATGTTTGTATAAAACATTTTATGCTATAAGTAAATACTAATTGTTTCAAATCAGATTTAACTTTAAATTTGCTAATTTTCTTCAAATAATGCTTCAGAAATATATATATATATTATTTTTGCAAGATTTTTGAAATTGAGAATTAACTTTTGTTTACAAAGGTGTCAAAAATGGTTGCTTTGATCAGTTTTACTGAGGCGGGGGCGGCAATGATTCTTATCAATATAATTTCTGTTTGAAATGCACCACAGAGTATTTTCCTTACTGGAAATAGTAAATTTTAAATCCTTTAGCTTTCAATTGAAGCTAAAATTTAAGCTTGAAGTAAGGTTTTCATTTTTAAAAATTCATTTTAAACCTTACGAATACTTGAATTAGTGGGGTTACCTACATTTACATATTTCCTTTTTAGAAGTTTCAGAACTGGAAAGCCAAAATGAACAATTAAATGAAATGTTGAGATAAAAACAACAATAATAGGAATCTGTATGAATTGGGTGATTGAGATGTATACCTTTTGATAAAAAAAGAAAGAAAAAAAATTTAAACAGATTAATACATGTTTCTATAGAAATTAACTTAAAAAAAAAAGGTTAAAAAATTAACAAAAAAAAAAATTATCAATTCTTCCTAATGTCAATCTCCTTCTCCATTGCGATAATGTATATATGCCTATACTATTCTTCCAGGGATTGAACTCTCAACTTCCATAGATGAATTTTATCAGTGCTCATTTACTAGACTACTCATGTTGTAGATTTTTGGAGCCTTAATCTATTAATTTGAACATAGCTTATTCATGGATTAATTCAGTCCCTTTTTTTCATCTACACTTGTTCTGTTTCTCTCATTAACTATGTACCATGGCAGTTGAGTGTGTGTGTGTAACCCCCCCCATCTTTCTACATGCAGTCAGACATATCAGGATTCACCAATAGTTTCATTCTTATTTTTAAAGGTGGTTGGTCTTGTCTTTGCATTCTTTAAAATCAACATTCCTGGTAGGTTACCAAAGATGGTCAAAATTTAATAATAAAAACAACAAAGATGAGGATACTCATCCAGAAGAATCAGTGTATTATAATAATAATAACTCCACCCTGAAATTCCATTCTGGGTATGACAATAAACTACATCCAGCAGCAAGGCCTCTGATCAGGAAGTTTTGAGGAATGTGGAACGACTTCTTAGTTGCTGTTGTTCCCAAATCCATCTTGACCCGAGGTGGTAGCACCTGTTAGGATACCAGCTATGGGCAAATAGTGAACTCCCAAACTGGGGTTAAACTGTGAAAATATAAAAAAATATATCACAAAAAATACATTTTCATAGTAAAAAAAACAATAAAAAATAAAAATTACTAAAGCTCACAAGAAAATAAAATTTTGGCATTAAAATGACTCATAAGTTGATATGTTGTTAACCAACCAAACCAAACCTCTCAGAAATTCACCTGGAAATTAAACTTATTCTTCTGATCTATTTAAAAAATTTGATGACCAAACCATCAGATTTATTCACTTTGTTTCACTCTATTTTTCACATGATTTCAATGTGTTTTGATTTTCATTTTTGGCTTTTTTTGTTTGTTTGTTTTTTTTGGGTTTTTTTTTTTTGTTCAATGTTCATTTAAATGTATCCTTCTTTTTTAACTTTAATCCTTAAGAACTTTTTTAGGTTTAACTTTTTTTTTTTTTTTAATTCTATCACCAGAGTACCAGTAATGGGTAAGCTGCTTCTTTGAATTCACTTTGTTGGTAAACTAAATTAACTCTTATAATTAACCAACTTTGATTTCCAGTCTCTGGAGATTCCTCATTTGTGTTATTTTAGTGGTGAAGGCAATGTCTTCTCTGGCTTAGAAACTGTTTGCCATGGTGCAATGGTTAGCAAGCTAGTTTTGCAGCAGACGATTCTTACTGTAGTGAGTAATTGATCTTTTTTGGTTACCTTAGAAACTTGTGATTCTGTAGCAGAAGAAAAGTAAGTGTAGTTAAGTTATTCACTCAGCACATAACTTATGACACAGCCTAAGGCTAAATAGAGGTTTTGAAAAGATTGTCTTGTGCCAATCTTACAAATGAAAAAGGCTTACTATCATTTACTATCATATTTATTTATTTTTATTTTATTTTTATTTTTTTTATTTTTTTTTTTTAATTCAAAAACCAAATAACACATTACCAACAGTTTACAGGTAAAATAACTTGACTCAGTAATGTTGGATTTATTGGTAACTTATCTGGGGCAGATTCAAGAGTTGCTACAAATTTCCTTTTCTTGTCTAGAAGAATCTGTTAACTATGCTGCCTCTTGTGGTCCTACATAGGATTGAACTAGTCATACTTGGCTAACAAATTTCGGAAGATATCAGACTCCCGCCCCTCAGCTTGATGAATGTGTTCTAAACAGTGGCAGTAGCTCGTCTCCCAAACAGTGGCAGTAGCTCGTCTGCCTTCCTGCCAAAATTTAGGCATTATTTGTCAGTTCAAATTAAAATCTTGTCTCTCTGACTTGTGCCCATTCTGATGATCTTTTTGTAAAGAGTTGACAGACCAAGAGAATTTAGTTACCAGTTCAAATGAAAAAAAAATGTTTTTAACTGACTTCAAAGTAGAACAAAATTGTTTTTTAAGTAATCAAAAGTTGCTGGTAAATTTAACCTGGCATAAATATTCTTTCATTGGTTATGATTTTCTGAAGAAATAAGATATTTTTTGACATGTATTTAGACGCCTGATGGAGGCTCAAAATTGGATTGGCTGAAATGGTAACACCAAAGAATATGAAAAAAAAAAAAAAGTTGAATTTTCAAAAAAATTTTGAACTACTCATTTTGTAATTTTTGATAATCCAAATATCTGAAATGAATTTAACTGATTGGTCAGATCAATTGTGCATTTCAATAAGACTCCTTACTTCAGAGAATTATTTCGGGTAAAAAAATTTTAGATTAAAATAATAAGAAATCCTCCAGATATTATTGTAATAATCTTAGTTTTAAAAATTGTACATTTTTCTAATTTTTGGAAATTCTTGATTTGAAATTTAAAATGATATCTGCATGAATTATATTTTAATTTTTGTTAACTTGATGATTACTTCTAAAATGACTTATCTCTAATTATGCTATAAATTTTGAACATTTGGTTGATTAAAATTCACATTACTTTTCCTCTAATAAAATATTAATTTCTTTTTATTGTCTAATGTTAGATTTTGACTAAGAAAATAATTTTTATTTTTTTTATATAAAACTGAAAAATAATCTCCTCCCCACTTTCTATTGGACCTCTTATTTTATTTTTTTTTTTTTATGGTTCCCCCCCTTCCTGGTTTCAGCAGCTGTACTTTATAACCTTTCACAAGCCTCTTGTATTTTGGTTTATTGAACTTTGTTCTGATGAAAGATGCCTATCCCGTCCCTATATTGATTGCTAGTTTTGGTAACCATTTTCCCCTGATTTTTGTCAAATAGGTGAACTTCACTTTCAGGAACAACAAATTTCTCATTCATTCTATTTTATTAATGATTTCCGTTTGGAACATGAATAGAAGGGGAAATTGTATCCCCTTCTGCCAACCAAAAAGGTTCAATATTCCCAAAAGGCCATACTTGAGGAAGGTTGAAATGGTGTAGCAGCCAAAACGTCATGATAAAAATTAAATACAAAGCAGGAAACAATATGATGATAACCTTTTGTTTATACAAGAAGGGGTGGGGGGCCATCTTCTGCCATCAAATATGGCAGAATGTTTATAATCAAAATGCCAGATAAGCATGGCCCATGTTTTGTTTTTTTTTTTTTTTTTTTTTTTTTTTTTTTTTTTTTTTAAAAGAGTGTTGCTTAATGAAAAATATTCATGATTATTTCTTTGAAATGTTGGGAAAAAGTAAAGCTATATTTATTTCTTGTTTC